GGAGTCAGATCACTCAATGCCCAACAGTATTCCATATTCATAGAAAATCAAAAGCCAGGAGGGCGTGTTAACACTGACTTTAACATGCCCCATGTCTCAGAGATAGGTAGCCCCAGCATTTGCCTCAATGAGAGACTGTCTCCTCAAACCAAAATCTCATCCAGGGATTGTGGGCACATGGCTGCAGTTCCAGCATTCTAAAGACAGAGGCAGGAGGATCACAAGTTCCAGGCTAGACTGAGTCTCATAGTGAGATCTCATTTCAAAAAACAACAAAAAGGCTGGACATAGTAGCACACATCTTTAATCCCAGCATTTGGAAGGCAGAGTCAGGGAGATCTGTGTGAGTTTGTGGCCAGCCTGGTCTACATAGCAGGTTTAAGGCCAGCTAGGACTACCTAATAAGACCTTTTCTCAACAAGACACGCCCACACACACACACACACACTGTAATGTACATGATGCTGTTTTAAGAATAGAAAGCTCAGTTGGGAGAGTGTTAGACTGAAGAATAGAATACTATCAGGCAGTGGTGGTACACACCTTTAATCCCTCTCTGAAGGCAAGAGCAGGTGGATCTCTGTGATTTTGAAGCTAGGCTTGTCTACAAAGCAAATTCTAGGACAGCCAGGGTTGTTATTCAGAGAAACCCTGCCTTGAAAGCAAACAACATCAAAGAATAGAAAGCTAAAACTCAGGGCTGGAGAAAGAGCACTGGCTGCTCTTCCAGAGGTCCTGAGTTCAATTCCCAGCAATCACATGGGGACTCACAACCACCTATAGTGAGATCTGGTGCCCTCTTCTGGGGTGCAGCCTGAACACTGCATAAATAATAAATAAATCTTAAAAAGAAGAAAAGAAGAAGAAGAAGAAGAAGAAGAAGAAGAAGAAGAAGAAGAAGAAGAAGAAGAAGAAGGAAACGAACAAAAGAAAGCTGAAATTCAAGTGTGTCCGGCCTCAGGGAACACCATGGTGTCTGTCTTGGTGGAAAAGTGTTTTTAAACCCCTAACTGCCACCTTCTAGCTCTGGCTTTCCCTGCATTGTTAAGTTCCTTCACCCTTGCTTGATTTATTTGGTATATAAAACTGAGGTCAAAAGCAAACAAGGGCTGGGAAGGTAGCTCAGTTGATAGAGCACTTCCCTAGCATGCACAAAGCCCTGGGCTTGATCCCCAGCACGCCTGAGGCACAATGACACATGTCTATAGAGGCTGGAGGATCAGAAGTTCAAGGTCATCCTCAGATATTTAGAGACCTCATGGCCAGCCTGAACTACATGAGAGGCCCTGACTCAAAAAATAAATAAAAAAATTAAAAACTCACAAACCAAAAAGCAACTTCACCTAGTGGGATAGCTCTAAGTACTATGTAATTTGCTTTATAATAGTCACTAGGCATAATGATAACTTCTGATACAGACATGCTGGTGTAGAAACAGTAGAATGTGTTCTGTAGGGGAAAAAATACATTAATAAGTGTTAGATTTCCTGAGAGAATTTGTTAGCATTTCTTTCATAAAACAAAAGGTTGTTTTCTAAATCCCATTCTACATGACCTGAAAGTAAATGTTCCAAGATACACATTGTTAAAGACCAAAGAATTCAAATTTCATTAGTTATTTTAATGCCAGTGATGAAAAAAAATGCTATCCAAAAATAGCTTCCCCTAGGCTGAGGGATAGAGGCTTTTGTTAACATCTTTTCAATACAACTTGGAGGTTTAAAGATATTAGTTTTTTATTATGTGAAATCAAATAAACCAAAATAAAAACATGAATCAGATGAAGCAATATTTCACACAGCTTTAATCCAATGTGTGCATTGTCTCCACGGAAATAAATGCTCTGACCCACTGTAGGCGAGGTAACAGCTCCTCAGCCACACATGGGAATTCATTTCCTTTCTGCTTCCTCTTGCTTGACATTCCCAGAACCCTCCCAGAGCTTGGAGCTATAACACTGCTCAGAGCTGTGATGGCTCTCAGCAGACACCAAGTGTCCCATGTCTTGTTTTAGATCCCGCGTAGCACTCCACTTTGTTTTACCCCTTTTTTGGATTGTTAATCCCAATCGGACAATAAAATACCTCCTGCTTGTGCCCTTAGCTGTCTGCCCACTCCATTCTTGAAGGCGAGCATGGCAAGAACCCTGTTGGAGACAGGAGGTGGTTTCCATGGACTACCTCATAATTACACAGCCCTCTCTGAAGCTGCAAGACACAAGGCCACTACTTAGTATCTGTGATGTACTAGACTCCTCGGCTACTCTATCTATCCTTCCAACCATCGCCACCACAAACATGCTTTAACTCACTCTCCACAGGTGGCCTCCTCCCCTTCCTAAAGATGACCTTGAGTTTCTAGTCCTCCTGTATCTAGTTATCAAATATTGAGGTTACAGGTGTGTATATCCTTGAATGGTACCCTCCTCTTTTTTTTTTTTTTTTTCATTTTTCTTTCCTGGCAAACCTACAAGTCCACCTTAAGCAAATCCATTCTTTCTCCTTCCTTTCTGCCTTCCTGCTCCACCCTCCCTGGCCATCTCCATCCTCTCTTTCTCCTGGCTCCTCGCCTTCTGCTGACAGTGACTTGTCTATCCAATAAAAGCTAACATTTTCTCCAAGTCTTGCTTTCAGCTATAGCTGTCACCTCTCTCTGCCTCAGATCTCAGTCATTTGAGAATTTCAAATGCTGTCTTTACATGTTTTGTCTCTAGTTCCCTCAACTCATCCTTTTAATGAGGCTTCCTCTCCAACTCCATCTAAGACCCCATACAATGGGTGACCTTATCTCTAATTTGTTTGGCTCCAGTATTGCAAGTGTCAATTTCTCCACCTTTCCTTGTAAATGATTTTTAATTTAGGTATGTGTGTTTGCCCAAAGAAGGGATCAAATCCCCGGGAGCTAGTTACAGTTGGTTGTGAGTCATCCAACATGGATGTTGACCCATCCTCTCTAGCTCCTCCATAAACCTTTGGCTTCCAAACACACACACACAGACACAGACACACAGACACACACACACACACACACACACACACACACACACACACACCACACCACACCACACACTTATATATACACAAAAATAAACATAAGTGAATTAAGAAAATACAGAGGACGCAAAAACAGCCTAGCAACAATCCAAATGCATGCCAAATCCATACTGGGAAGCGATGGCACCAGAGGTCATTTTCCCAATAAATAAGTTTCAAGCTTAAAAAAGTAGAAAGGGTTTTTCAATTAAAAGAGTCCAGCCAGGGAATAGCAATGTGTGAACTTTATTTGATCTTGATTCATACAAAGAAACTCCAAATTTCCCATCGTCTAATCACTTTTTAAATTTAAACATCGACTAGATACCATTAACACACCACGTGATGATAATTGTTATGAAACATTTGAAAACCGTTCTTCAAAAGCTTAGAGAGCCGCACACAGTTCAAGCTGGAGATAAAATAATAAAATTCTTGGGGATCCAGTTGAGCATACAGGAAATGGGGGAAGGGGAGAGGTCTAGACACTACTGTCCATCAGAACATGACTGTTCACACTGGATGATGGCCATATACTGTTCCCTGTTGTTGCTCATCTTTGCAGATGCTTAACATTTTTCATAGCAGGCTTAATGTTTTTTTTTTCATAGCAGGTTATTTTAAAAAAAGAAATACAGTGAATCACTTTACAACACAGACCTATGGGGATTTTTGTTTGATCACTTTTATTCCCTCCATCACACCCGTGCCTTTAGCCACTGGTTCTATTTGTTTTACCTTTTAATTGCCACTTCATTCCATCTAATCCAAGCCAAATCTGGCTTGTGTACAGCTCCTAGCTACTTCTGCCTGCCTCTAAAACTGTATGGCCAGAGTGTTGTGTTGTTTTTAAACATACACACACACACACACACACACACACACACACACACACACACAAACACATACAAGTGTCAGACAAAAATTTGATCACACCAGGTCCTTTGCTTAAAATCTGAAGATTGCTTCTCGATGACACAGAATAAAGATGAGCTAGTCGACGCACACCTTGAGACCTGTAAGCTGTCTTCTGACCTTATGTGCCTGCTCCATGTTGGAGTGTTCTCTCTGGCCTTTCCATACTCCAGGCACTTCCTGACCCTGCCATCCTCACCTTCAGCTCAACATTCACACATGCTCTTCCTCTGCCTGCAACATTCTCCTCCCCCAAGCACATCTCAACTCTCAGACCTCCCCTCAGGTGCCACTTGCTGAGGCTACTCTTCTCAGTATTCTAGATGAGGTTAGACCAGCTACCTCCCATAAGAGCTTGTCCCAACTGAAGATTTAAAACAGATGCATTTTTTCAGAGTCTAGCTTCCCTGTTTTAATCTCAGAGAGGGAAATAGCCCTTTACTCTATCCCCCAAAGTCTATCATTTGATCTACCAGAGGGCCAATAAACATTTATTGATCTATTAATAACTGGCTTGATGAATAAGTACTAAGTAAATGAACTTGACTATAATACTGGTCAAGTCATGAAACAAAACTGCACTTTATTATAATGTTATACAGCTAACTTAACTGGTGTCAAAAGATTTGTAAATCTTTAATGTGTTTGTATGCAAGCAAAGAGAGGGAATTATGAGGATGATGTCATTGTCAGGGTCCCTCATAATGACCCAAGTACTTGACAGCAAAAAAGGACATGTCTCAGTATATCACCCACTTTCCAAGGAAGCAACATACATCCAAATGGAAGTGCTTCTGATACCAGCCTTTACTGTGTGCTCTTCATACAGAAAACCCAGATGGTCCAAAAGTGGACTCAAGACTGCAAGCGATTATTTAAAACTGGCTACATTACACAGTGCAAGCCGTCTCTAAATGCATACTAGCACATCTAGTCAGTAGAACCAAAGCTTAAACATTTTAGAGACTAGCTCTTCACAACCTGTTGAATTAATGAGAAAAAAAAAAAACTACAAGCTCATGAAGCAAATTTTTATTTTAAAATTGTTAGGTTTTTAGTGCATATGAAAATATCTTATGACATGACACATACGGATGTTAGCACATGGAATAATAATAGAAAATATTTTAGGCAACTTTTGAAATCACTAATATGCTTATTTTCCTGTGAACGAGCCCTTAACTTAAATGAGTTTGATCACGGAATATCAAGGATATTTAGGATTTTCAAATTATTGCTTAACAGCTTCCTAATGAGGTGTTGTATTTCTATCTGATCTACACATAATAGTCTTTTCAACACACCAGTCACAGCAGTGGTCTTTTGTCTCAGCTCTGTTGGTATATGCTTTATATTCAAATACTCCGACAACTTGGACCTGGAATTGTACAGCACGTCGATAACCGTTTCCATGTCATCGGCTGAATCGATCATCTGGTCCTCTGGGAAGATGCGAGATGTGTACATCTGTTGTAACTTGTGCTCAGCGGCTGCGGCCAGGGCCAGGCTCCGTTTCAGATGCTCCCTGGAGGCCTTGATGTACTCCTTGTACTCGGGGTTGTTGCTGTCACCAAGAGGCCCCCGCAGAATCTCTGAGTGAATATCGTAAATTTTTCCCAAAATCTCCTCATATCTCAAATTCTGGGAGCCGTGTTCAGCGATTTCTTCGATGTCCTCGTTTTCCAACAGGCCTGAGAGCTGGGGCACGTCCTCAGTGTCTGTGGAGACATCCATGGTGCTGGCCCTTGTTGTTAAGGTGACACGCGTACTTCCCAGCCACGGATGGATGATCAGGGATGGCATCCTCGAGGACTCCGTTTTCATCCTGTTTTGCCGTGAGTCTGGCTCAAGACTGTCCTCTGCCTCTGAGTGGGACTCAGACTCCGGCTCCGACTCAAACTCAGGCTCAGGTTCAGGTTCAGGCTCAGGCACTATATGTCTAGCTTCTGGCTCCACCTCCAGCTCCGGCTCCGGCTCCGGCTCCGGCTCATCTTTTTCAATATAAGGTTCATCCGAGTGTAAAACAATAGAAACGTTATTTGGCCGGATGGACCAGAACGCCGTGCTTTCGGTTTCTTTTTGCCCGTCCATCCCCAGCGTGAAGCCGCTAGAAGGGAAAGTCGTCTTATCCTCGCTGACTGGCCTGATCAGAACATCGTGTTCAGAGGTAACTTCGTCAGGGGTGTGTATCAACATCAGGTCAGGCGACGACCTCGGTTCTGCGATTTCCACAGTTCTTGAGACCTCTGACTTTTTGTCGGAGCCCTGATCCCTGGTGGGAACACTCATTATCAGGTTCTGTAAAACTTGTACATAATGATTCAGATTCTGCTCTTCATCAGGCGACACAGTTATGGCTGGAGGAGAAAAACCAAACACACAGTGAGTAACGCTTATTATATAGGACGCATGACAGACTTTGCTAACCACAGCTCACTTTCTGTCCTAGCAAGAACAAGCAAGAAGCTCAGCAGCCACTGAAAATGCATGAAGGGACAAGAGTAGGACAGGAGTTACACAAGGATACCCTTTTCTTTTTCTTCTTTCTTTCTTTCTTTCTTTCTTTCTTTTATTTATTTATTTTTTTTCGAGACAGGGTTTCTCTGTGTAGCTTTGGAGCCTATCCTGGCACTCACTCTGGAGACCAGGCTGGCCTCAAACTCAGAGAGATCCGCCTGCCTCTGCCTTCCCAGTGCTGGGATTAAAGGCATGCGCCACCAATGTATGTTTGAATCATATACTTTATGATTCAATAGGCAATTTATTAAACCAAAATCCTTGATCATGTTGTCTAAGCCTGCAAGGTATTATGATGGGCTCATATTGGCTCACCAGAGTCAATTATTACATTTTTTAGGAGCCAGATGCTAAGTAAACACAATTAAAAGTTAAATCTTCTGGCTGGGTGATGGCAGTGGCACACACCTCTAATCCCAGTACTGGGGAGACAGAGGCAGGCGGATCTGTGTGAGTGTGCTGAATGTTATCTCTTAGATATGCTTGTACTGCAGTTATGTTCCTTTACATGCTTATACTTTCGTCATCCATACTAAACTGTTTAAACTGTTTACTGGTAGAATTATACAATGTCTATAATTTGCTTCTAAGTAAATTTAGGACAAGAATTCTGGAGGAGGACAGGGAGGCTAGGAGAAGAGGAGTGTGAGTGGATTTACTAACGACAAGAGATGTTAGGGAGACGGAGCCTTTGTGACACTGTTTCCATTTGTATATTTCATTTTTTCTACAAAAAGATGTTTCTAAAATTTTTGAGAAATTTTCTGTTTTGGGCATCTAGAAGCAAACAGTTGAGTTAACCATGCCCTATCTAAAATGTGCAGTCAAAAGATAGGCAGGAATGGCTTTGCAGAGGGCACTGCCTTGAAATTAGTCTAGGGTGCTCTTGATCTTCAGTAAATTAGCTTGTCTCTTAAACTAGCAAATGGGGTATCCAGGTAGCTATTAAATAAGTTAGGAAGCCAAAGGACAGGAAAAGGAGGTACTCACTGGATGTGATTTCTAAAAACATCTCAAGTACTCATTATCCTCCTCTGCAGTTACTCTGGAAACACCAAAAGGCCTGTTTGTGGTTGCCTAGCAACAGAGGCACCCTACCTCCTACCTTGCTTTTCTTCCTTGCAAATGTCTCTGGATTATTCTATTCTTGAATCCATCCCCTCCCCGCATGCTTCCTACCTCTTGTTTTTGCCCTTCTAACACATCTATGCATTTCAGACTGGCCTTCCAGGTGCCGCTAATCATGGCCATTCTTGCAAATCAGTTTGAGCCCTGTAAAAATGTTTGCAGGCAAGATAATAGAATTCCAGTGTCCTTACAGACAACCCTGGCCACCATGAAATCCTGTTTTTCTCCATTCTACAGGGAGTTCTAAAGATTGAATAAATTTCTATTTCTTACAATGAACAAGCCAACCCAATAGAAGTTGAGCCACTTATTACACCTGGACTATTTCCTGTGGTTTACCCCAATACAACATAGCTATTTTTGCCGCTTGGATATCTTATCTAAGCTAACAGCATGCCCCAGACCATGGTTAAGGTTAAGAAGTCCTCCAATGCTGTGAAAGCAGATCAGTAGGTAAAGAAAATGCTTGCCTCACAAGCTTGAGGACCAGAGTTCAGATCCCCGGTACCCATGTAAGCTGATGTGGTGGTATCCTCTCGGCCCCAGCTAAGCTTGCAAATCAGTGAGCTCTGGGTTAAGGGAGAGACCCTGTCTCAAAAAAATAAGGTGAAGAAAAGAAAAAGAAGACACCTGATGTTGACCTCTAGCCTCCAAATAGCATGCCCACTGGTACATTACAAAATCATTCACAGACCCACATGTGGACATGCGTGTTGTAGGATATTTGTACACTGTGTGACTGTGCTTTGTGTAATAAAAAACTGAATGACTAATAGCTAGGCAGGTAGTATAGGCAGGATCTCTGGGGAGAGAAAGGAAGAGGAGGAGAATCTAGGCACGCAGGAGACACCAACAAGACATGAAGGGAATCAGACATACAGAATGAAAGAAAGACAAAAAGCCACATAGTAAAATGTAAATTAATAAAAACAAGTAAATTTAAGCTACAAGAGCTAGTGAGACAAGCCCAAGCTAAGGCTAAGCTTTCATAAATAATAATTCTCTAATAATGTCTCTGTGTCATTGTTTGTGAGCTGGCAACCCAAAGAAAAATCCAATTTTACACACACACACACACACACACACACACACACACACACACACACACACACACGAATTTCTGCAGTGTAAGATGTCAGGATACTGCTCCAGGAACTCTGCTAAGCAGCCTGGAAACCTAGGGTTCTGCTGAAATCTCAGCTCTGAGAATGTCAGCTGAGCTTGAGTTTTTTGCAGTTTTTAAAATAGAACAGAAAAAATGATCACATGACAGAGACAATAGCCAAGAGATGCTAACAACTGTAGGAATGAAAATAGCTGAAATTCTGAAGGGTGCACTGGGAGACAGTAATTAAAAAGATTGCAATCACTCCCATTCATTGAGCCATTAGCGTGTGCAGATGCCACGTGAGTGGTATTTTGGTAAAAAGGAAAAAGAAGCTAGGCGGGGTGCCACACGCCTTTAAAATCCCAACACTTGGCAGGCAGAGGCAGGCAGATCTCTGAGTTCAAAGTCAGTTTGGTCTACAGAGCAAGTTTCAGGACAGCCAGGGCTGGAGAAACTCTATCTCAAACACCAGAGGAGGGGCACTCGGAAAGTAATCTGCCCATGATTATTCAGCTCCTGAGCGGCAAGGATGGGGTGTGAACACAGACTGCTTCACTTCAAAGCTAGCACAATGTTGTCAGAAAGACATGCCACAATGGTGTTGGCAAAGCAGTGGGGACATGGGACAGCATGATCTTGTGGAAACACCTGGATTTCACATGCTAAAGTAAAATACCATAAAGAATACAAATTCTTCTCCTATTTAGTTGTACCAAAATACTTAGAAACATGTACAATAAATAAATACTACAAAATTTTGCTCTACTGCCAAAGGGTTCTCTTTGTACATAAGAGCTATCTATAGACACTGAGGGGAGTCTACATAGAATGTTTTGTTTCTGACGGGCATTGGTGGCGCACGCCTTTAATCCCAGCAGTCGGGAGGCAGAGGCAGGCGGATCTCTGTGAGTTCCAGGCCAGCCTGGTCTCCAGAGCGAGTGCCAGGATAGGCTCCAAAGCTACACAGAGAAACCCAAAAAAAAAAAAAAAAAAAAAAAAAAAAAAAAAAAAAAAAAAAAAAAGAGAGAGAGAGAGAGAGAATGTTTTGTTTCTACAAGGTCTGACTGGGGACTGACAGTCAGTCACTTACAAGATGTTCATGCCACACAAAGATAAAAGCAGTTCATTACCTTTGCGTTTCTCCTGAGCAAAACTGGAGCATAGGTCTTTCTAGATAAACCCAATATCATAAGTAATATAAACTCAGAAATCCTAGTCACTTAGCTTTCTGTACTAGAGCTAAAATATCCACATACATTAAAATATCACACTTATGAAGTAGTCTGGGCTGTACGTATGCCATGCTGGGAACTGAACCAGGAGCCTCGTGTATCCTAAGTGAGCACTCTGCCACTGTACTCTATCCCCAGCCTCATGTTCTGATTGCTGATTTGAATGCTAGTCAGTCAAAGATGTTAATTATAGATTCGTGGAACAGTCAGAACACTTGAGACTGTCTCTTATGTATTTAAAAATGTCATGTTTGTGACTCTTTTACATTATAGTAACTGGACATGACCATATAGGTAAAGCAACAAAAAAAAAATCATTTTTCAGAATTAAATTTGGGGGGGGGATGACTTGATCAAAATCTGTTACATATATGTTAAAATTGCTACAATGAAATTCATTACTTTGTATAATTAATATGTACTAGTTTTAAAAGAACTAAAGTATATAAAAAAAACTTTGGTTTATCAATAGGTATTATTTCTACTTTAGTTACTGAAGCTAATTGTCATTGACAATTTATAAGTCAGAAGTTGTGTTTTCTGCTTTCTTTGTACCTTTTCCCCTTAAGACAGGAGCCCATGCTATTCTGAACTGTTTAGTCAAGGATGACCTTGAACACTTATCAGTCTGCAACTTCCAAAGTGCTGGCATTATAGAAGTGAGACACCAGTTAAACTTAACTTTTTTTAAAAAAAAAAAAAGTCGTTGTTGCTGGTGTTGGCACAAGCCTTTAACCCCAGCACTCGGCAGGCAGAGGCAGGTGGATCTCTGAGAGTTCCAGGTAAGCCTAGTCTACACAGTGACTACCATGACTGCCAAGGCTACACATAGAAACACTGTCTTAACAAACTAACAAAAAACCAGGGCATGCTAGTGCATGCCTGTACTCCCAGCACTTGGTGGCAGAGGCAAGAAGACCAAAAGCCAACGTCATTCTTGGCTACATATTGCATTTGAGGCCAGAATGGGCTAGATGAGACCCTATCTCAACAACAGGAACAACAAAAGCATCAATAAATAAGTTTGAATGAACCACAATGAAGTCTTAGAATTTACACATATGAAAAACACAATAGTGAACCTGAAAACATCTCAAAGGTGGGGATGGGGGAAGATTTGGTGAGCGGTGAGACAGGCTGATGGAACAATCTAGACAAAGGAAAAGGTAGAAGACATGACCAGAGCCCCTTGTTGCTCTTGTAGAAGACCAGGTTAGGTTCCCAGAACCCTCATAGTGGTTCCCCACCATCCACAACTCTAACTCTAGCAAATCTAAGTCCTCTTCTGACCTCCACAGGTACCAGGAAGTCACATGGTATACATACACATGCAAGCAAAAGACTCACATGTACACAACGAAATATATAAATT